TCGCGTAAAGTTGTGCCTTCTCGAAGGTCTTTTTACCGGCCTCGATTTAAATAGTTATTATATAATTCTTTCGATAGTAATCTTTCTTATCGTAGTTATAGTATATTAGTTTCCTCGATTTTAAATTAGTCGTAATATTTAGAGGCGTAGTAATTATACTTAAACTAAACTTAGTAATAAATATAAGATATATATTAACCGCGGATATTATCGTCGATATTTGTATTATAGTTAACTTAATAGTAGTCTTTATAAACTTAAAATTCTTATAATCAGCACGTTGTGAGTTATTTAGCTTTCGAAGATATTCTTTTATAGTCTTTAAGGTAGTAAAACCTTCTATAACCTATTATATCTTCTTTAATTTCTTTCTTAGTTTCTTAAAAAGATAGTTTTCTAGTATAAGAGTTTTATTATAATTAAGAATAGTATCTAGTCGAATAAAGTCTAAATAGAAGTCGATAAAGGGTTAGGTCTCTTATTATAGAGTATATATATTACATAATACATTACTACGTCGATCTAAGTTCTCGTAGATATTGACTAACTTATTTATAATCTCAGTAAAAGACTAATACGAGTTAGTGAAGTTTCGAAGTCTTCTATATATCGTATATTATATAGTCTTATCGCCGAGTTATAAGACTACGTAGATTATCTTAAAGTCCTCAATAAGATAATAATCGCTATTGATCTTAAATTTCTATTCTATTCTAGAGAACTAGTCGTTTTAGATAAGGTCGCTATCGTCGATAAATAGAGATAGATCTAGAATCTTAACTAATTTCTCTTTTAAACGTCTAGATGTATATTTCTTCTCGATCAATAATAGTCGTAAGTCTTTTATTAACTATATCTTAAGGCCATTAACTTTCCGCTATAGGGAAGTTATATTCTTCTAAAAGTCTCGGGCTAGTTAATTTATCTTCTCGGTTATTCTATAGATCTAATATAAATCATTTATAGCTAGATCCTTTTTTATTATAGCGGCGTAATATCGAGTAATAATCTTCCGAAAATCGTCTCGCTTTTAACGAATTTTATTTAATATAGTTATAAATTCGTCGGATTAATACTTAGTTTAATATTATAGTTATATACTATTAGCGATATTTTAAGACGTATTTATCGAGTCTACCTCGTTAGAGATATTATCTAATAGAACTAATATTCGTCGAAACTTAATTTACTCTAGTAGGGTCTTAATTTAATCTATTCTTTCGATATTAAACTTCGCTATAAAAAAGAAGAAAGAAAGGTTTAAAATAAAGTGAAGAGGAGTTTAAATACTTCGAAAGAATAAGTGCTAAGAATATTAGATGTACTAGAGAATAATAAAGCCTCTTCAAAACGTATCGAAATTATTCGATATTAAGAATAAAAAATTTCACTGTGAAGCTTAAGGTAAGGTTGTTTCTTTACGAGAGTTTAATACACTTATTTTCTAATCGTTTAAGGCGTTAAAAAGACTATAAGTACTTTAAATAGTAATCTTTCGAGTACACTTACTTCGCTTAGAGGGTCCCTTATCTCATAGAGAAGTTATATGCGGGGAAGTTTCGAAGAATAATATCTTTAATTAGCTGTAACTCGATCGTTTCTTATCTAATTAGAGCTTCGTTAAAACTTCAGATGTTATAGTATATGAAGTTGCAAGTAATGCTACTAATATATATTTTGAATATAGAAATGTGAGATAATATTAACTATTTCTTTCGATTCGCTAGCCGTACGAATAGTTTAATACCTTCTTTATCCCTCGACCACTATTTATCGAGGCCGTTTCGCTATCCCTTTTAGACTCTTTAAAATCGATTTATCTATCTAATAGACTTATCTAAAAATACGATAACTTAACTTAATTTCTTATTAAAGCCTCTATCAGCGCGTTTCTTTAAATTCGTTCGCTAATATAAATAAAATAAGTAAGTTAATCTTAGTTATAGTATTAAGATCGATATAGATATAATATTAATATAGATATATTGAATAAGATAACTAAGATATCGAATTATATAGGTGAAAAGGAGGTATAATATAATAGAGAATATCTTCGTTAAGGCCCGCTAGCCATAGAGCTAAATAGTATATTAAGAATACGCTCGTAATAAATTTAAAAAATCTTAAATTTATATATATAGTTAATTATAAATTTAAATTCGTTATACTCTTTAATTAAATCGATTAAATTAACTCGCTAGCTCTCTTATATCTTTTTATTAAAAAAATAAATATAGATTACTTATATATAGAATAACTTTTTTATTTTCTATTTAAAATTATATAATTCTTTTTTTAAATTATAGAATATAATTTACGCTTTTAGATAAAAAAAGAATTTTTAAATTTAGTCTTATAATTATTAAAGTATAAGAAATTTAAATATCGCTTATTAAAGTTTACTATTTACTCGATAGCTCTAATTAAAAAATAGATATACGTTATTTATATATAGAATAACTTCTTTATTTTCTATTAAAATTTTTAATTTTTTTAAAATTATAGAACGTAATTTAGACTTTTAAATAAAAAAAGAATTTTTAAATTTAGTCTTCTAAATGTTTAAAGGTAAGAAATTTAAATATCTCTATCAAAAGTTCGCTTATTAAATTTACTCGATAGTCGATAGCCTTAAAAAAAAAATAGATATATATTATTTAATTTTTAAAATAACTTTTTTATTTTCTATTAAAATTTTAGATAATTTTTTTTTAAATTATAGAACTTAATTTATACTTTTAAATAAAAAAAGAAGATTTAAATATAGTCTTATAAATATTTTAAGATAAGAAATTTAAATATCGCTTATTAAAAACTTATTTACTCTATTAAGAATATTCTTTAATATAATTTTTCTAATAATAATTAAAATATTTATTCTACTCTTACTATTTTATTAAATAATAATTTTATTAATTTAAAATTTAAAATTGATATAAATAGTTAAGTAATAAAAAATTTAATAAAATTCGAAACTATTTCGCTTCGTTCTCGATTCGAATCTATAAATCTTTCTCGCTAAAAAATCGTAAAATTATAAAATTAATAAAAAATTTATAGATTATAAAAATAAAAATAAACTATAATAGATTTTAAAATTAACTTCTTATTAGCTAAATTTAGATTAATCTAAAATTAATTAATTTTTTAAAAACTTATTATTAATATAACTTCTCTTTTTTTATTAATTTTTTTTTAAATTATAGAGTATAACTTACGCTTTTATATAAAGAAAGAATTAATAATTTTAAATTTATAAGTATTTAAAGATAGAGAATTTAAATATTACTTATAAAAAACTTATTTACTTTATTAAGAATATTTTTTAATATAAACTTAGATAATTAAGTAATAATAATTTTAATAAAATCTAAAATTATTTCGCTTCGACCTCGATTCGAATCTATTAATCTCTCTCTCTAAAAATTTATAAAATTCTAAAATTCTAATAATCGTAAAATGGTAAAATTCTATAAATTCTATAAATTCTATAAATTCTATAAATTATAAAAATAATAATAATAATAATAATAATTATATAAAAATACTATAATAGATATTAAAATTAACTTTTAATTAATTAAATCTAAATTAATTTTAAGTTAGTTAACTCTTTAAAAACTTATTATTTATATAACTTCTCTTTTTTCGAATAAAAATTTACTATTATTTTAATTAATTATAGAACTTATTTTATACTTTTTAATAATTTTATAATTATAAAAATTTAATCTTATAATTCTAAGTAAATATTAAATTAAAGTATTTTTACTCTTCGAGAGTTAAATTTAATCTCGAAATTAGATTTAAAAATTAATTACTTTTTATAAATTTAATTTATAAACTTAAACTTATATTATATAATTAAATTAACTAATTTTTAACTTAAGTAAATTTAATCGAGTAATAAAACTTATAGATTATATATAAATAAGATAATTCGAGTTAGCTAATATAAATTCTTAAATTCTAGAAATTAATTAATTTTACTTTAATTAAAAATATCTTATTCTTTTTAATACCTATAACTTAACTATTAATAAAGAATTCTTTATTTCTTTATTCTTCTTAAACTAATTCTAGAATTTTATAATATATTCTTAATTCTAGAGTAATATCGTAACGATTTTAATATACGAAACGTATCGATAATATTATAGTTATTTTAATAATTCGATACGATTATTTATTAATACGTATTAAAATATATAATTATTAATAATTTAATTCGTTTTTTATTCTTTATTGTTTAAAAGCGAAGATAACTACTTAGTACGTCTTAGAAAAATTATCGTATATATCGTATATATACCGTAGAATTCTACCGCGGCAACTCGCTAAGGTAGGTAGGAGGGAGGCATCAAGTAGTAGATGGATGCCTCTGCCAAGACACGCTAGGCCCGAATAGGTAAGAGGGCTAAGTGGTGTGTCAAGGATGTAGGGTACGCTCGTAACACGTATCTTATATGCCAAGGAAGCGAGGCAAGTGCGTGGCACGATCACTCCAGTACCTACCTGCAGATTAGGGATGCCAGTCAACATCTTGGCATATTTGGTTGGGCCTACTGCCGATCTCTTTAGTGTATGTGGCCAACAATATCAAGGCACAGAGGCGTACTACGAGTGCGTCATTTCTGGGAATGGAGTCAAAATACACCCAACACACTGGCCATTTGCATTTCGGGGCCAAGGTCAAGCAGCTGCTGTATTCATGAATAATGAACGTATAGTTGAACATTGCTCCTGAGTGCCTGATTGTGAGCATCTCGCCACCCCCCCTCGTTAGTCATCTGAAAATTTGGTTCCTTTGACGTCCTTCACTCATGCTTTGGAGAGGTGTCTAGACTCTCTAAGATGGGCTTTTTGGACCTTTGCAACGCCGGCATTACTCGAGCGAAAGTGAAAAACAATACAAGTCCAAAAAGTAACAGGCTAACCACTTTCAATCGATTAGAGACTTAGGCAAAACGTTATTCTTGGTCTGCGATGCTAGTGACCACTTACACGGCGAGAGGCTTTTGAGAGGAGGCACGAAGATGGGTTTCTCCTCCCGTGCTCCGGTGGAATTTCTCCGGAGGTCCGTCAGCATCATGAGCCCAAAGTAGTGAATCGATCTCGCCACCCTCGTTCGCAAGAAAGTCGAGCTTGTAAAGTTTCTCTGGAGAGTACGGGAAACGTGCTCGACTGACAGCTTCATCTCGCGACATGAGCCATAGAAAACTGTCATGTTGGTAGTGCTCCATCTTCCATATCTGAGAGTCGAGACCCTGAAAAGCCAGTTGCAGGCCATTGGATTGCTGATTTGGGGTGATCTCAATGTAGAAGTCGCCAAGCTCGTTGTAGTATTTTCCAAGAAATGCGTCCAGCGATTTTGGTTTTGTGTCTGGGGACCGGCTTGCTTCAAAGCTTTCACGCATAGCTGGATATCTAGCCAGATGTGCATCGGCGCTTTCCTTTGCATGTTCCACATAGTCATTGCGTTCTTCGACATCTAGAAGAGCCTCCAAAATGAGTTGGCCAACCCAATCAGCACAGTCGTTCAAACTGATAGAATTTGAGAGTACCACAATGGCGCTTTGGGTGTGTGGAATGAGAAACAGAGAGGAAGTATATCCAGCGAGACTGCCCTGATGGTATATGATCGTCTCTTCACTGCCGCGGCCAGCGGTAGGCATGGATTTCACGAATCCTGGATTGCAGCCCACAGCGCCAAGAATTGCAGGAAGTTGCGCACGAACCCATCCCATCCCATAAGCAGAATCTGTATCGAATGGCTTCGCAAAAGGTGTAAGACCGGACATCTGTTTTGATAGCTGCTTCAGAGGAGAGCCAGCAGAATGGCCTTGGCCGGTTTTCTGCTGATCGCTATAAGCCTTCACCAAGGCTTGACACCATTTTAGCATGTCATTGACAGTGCTCCGTATACTTTGAGACGAGTCCATGATACTACCCGCTTGTACATTGAGAGACGGCAGTAACTGGAACGAGTGGTCGTCCAGAACTGTATAAGGTTTGGCAAAATTGTCGTGGTCAGCGGATTTGATGGAGTCCGAGTCATTCATGTGAAGGGGAGCCAACAGACCCTTCTCCACATATGTACCCCAGCTATCCCCGGACAGCTTCTCTATGATTGCGCCTGCTAACGCGTATCCCCAGTTGCTGTAGTGCACTGTGCTCTTGAACGGCTGAACGGTCTTTATGTACTGCATGTGAGGAATGACTTTGCTTTTCTCGAGTAATAATGTGTTGTCATTACCATGCCACAGCTGATTGGATCGTTGCAGGCCCATCCTGTGGCTTAGGACATCGAGCACAGACATTTGCTGGGTAAGGGTAGGGTTCGAGAAGTGAAAGCCATCGCCCAAAACATCGCGAACCGAGGCGTCCCAAGTGGTCTTTCCATCTTCTACCAGAATTCCTACTGCTGCAGCGGTGAAGGCCTTTGTCAGCGATCCTATTGCGTACCTTGTATCGGATGTAGGAGGTAGCTGAGCTTCGACGTTGCGGTGACCAAAATTGCCAGTGTGCAAGACTCGACCCTCATGAAGCACTCCATAGGAGAGTCCAGGGGTTCCAGAAACAGCGCAGATTTCGGCAATCGTCGCCCCGACGTCCTGCAGCCTCGTCAGAGCGAGCGCTGTCGTCGTTCTCGTCTTGCGATGAGACGACATGGTCAAGGAAAGAAATTAACACGCTTTTCTACACTCTGGCAGATCTCTTGAGGCGTGAGAGGCTCAGCATCAAGGACGACAGTCATGAATGAGGAAAACAATGCATGGGCACAGTGTACAACAGGGTTGCCATTGCCGACTTGGCCCCCACGGATACGCTAAGCTATTTGGGCCCAATTTTGGTCCCAATGGTGTGACCTAAGCCGAGTACCTATAAGATAGGTATGTACAATAGATACAGTAATACTTTTCCCACCAATTATGGGTATGCTGTGGGCCTGAACCATAGAGAGTCAAGCCCAGGATAAGCATCTCGAAGGCCATTGCCTTTGAGGCTCTACTCTTCCCAGGTACTTCTGTAAGTGTGCCATGTTTGCGCCCCTCTCCTTTATACAGTAATCGCATGTCTTATGATCCGCCTCAAACCAAAGATTGATCACTGAGCAGAAGGCTTTCTCGAACTTAGGGTTCTTGGGCTTGAAGCATCCATAGTAAGTCATAACGACAGTGACAGCGAGATCTGAATAGTCGTATTAGGTATCAGACAATGGTACGCAAGGTGGGCGATGAGGAACAGGAGTGGTACCACGCTGGGATATCCTGCCCAGTGATGGACTGAACCGATCCCATGATAGAAAGAGTGAGCATGGAATCGACGCCCAAATCTACAAGCCTCGCGTGCGGCTTTAGCTGATTCCGAGCTCCTCCGCAATAATATTCCTGGGCTGCCTGGTCTGCTGGTTTGGATCGACATGAAAATTCAATTGCTTTGACGAGGTATTGACCATCATCTCCCTCTGAGAATCACGGTCCTCGTCCCTATTGTGTTTGCAGAGGTCAATGTCAGTCAGGTTTGCAGCGTGGGTCTGTTCGACGTCTCGCTTCGGAGCGCCCATCGTGGAGGTTTTATGAAGTAGGGACTAGGGACACCAATGGCTAGATCACCTCGAGGCTTGGTTTGAATATCGATATTCAGAAGAGAATCAACACCTAGATGGGCGAGGATCGCATCGTTCTCTTATATGGCAGGGTTCACACCCAGCTGGGCAGTAATCAAGGCAGAGGCCGCAGAAGCGTTGTTGGATTGGTAAAGGAGCGGTGTTGTGGAAATCTGTCCGATGTGAATGAAGTCTTGACGCTTCAGATGAGTGCGACGGTGCATTACCCTCCAGGCACGCGTGTCCGCCGGTCTCTGGGGGTAGAATAGGGACCACGACTTGGGTATCATTAACTTTGCTCCATTTTGTGGACACTCATATCTGGTGGCTATTGCTATGGAGGGTCACCCTCACACCTCGACTGTCCAGACTCGGATTCGTAACGAAAAAGTCGTGTTTGACATCGACATCCCTTTCCCTGACGGTGTCATACAACTGCATCTTTGTCCCAAACTTTCTGAAAATTGTTGCAAGCGTCATGTGAAACTCCGCTTGAGCCAGGTTCATACCTACGCATTGTCTGGTACCTCTCCCAAAATTGAACAAGTGTCTCTGCCTCAATTCTTTCTCCGGCCCCATCCAACGTGAAGGGTCAAACCTCCTAGGCTCCGGAAATATCGCAGGGTCGTTGTGCATATGAAGAGAGCTCATTCCGACGGGTGTGCCGGGCGGAATGGTCCAGTTCCGGAAAGTCAAGGCGTTATCTGGGTGAACACGCTGTAGTCGATGAATTGACCCATATGAGATACGTAGACCTTCGTTAATGACCGCACTGAGGTAGGGAATTTGCTCGAGTTTCTGTAATGAGCATGGCGTAGATGCATCCGGCAACGCTTGTTCAAGTTGCGCCATTAGTCTGCTAAGGATCGGTGGGTTCATGAGGACATGATAAGTGGTCATGCTCAGCATATGCGTAGATGTCAAAGTCCCTGCACCAACGAGACTTTGTGCTTCCATGACAAGGCGTGGAAGTGACTTCTCTGAGAGCGGGAGACCATCGTCATCTCGCAACGAATGGAACACTGTGGGATGGGATTTGGATCCGGTCTCGTCATGATAAGATAGGATTGATTGAACCTGGGAAACGTACTCCAGTCGCTGTGCGCGGAGTTGGGCGAATAGAGGGTTCGTGGCACGCACCCACCAGTCGGGAAGAAGGTTCAGTATTGGAAGCATGTGAGGAAATTGCTTGATCCTAGTATTCAATTAGCACGAGAAAAGCATGGGAGGGAGATCTGATTAGGAGAGAAACGCACATATGGGAGAGCTCCGATGGTTTCTGCACGAGCTCGTAATACCACGGGGAAAAGTCTTTCATCTCGAGTACATTCCTGCAGTTCGAGAAACAGTACTCTGTGATCACATCTTGTGTCAATGCCGAGTATGCATGAACCAAGTTCACCGGCTCCCCATTATCCATCTTCTCTGACAGTTTCTCGCACAAAACATCGATGCGTGACTGGATCAACGGCTGAAGCCGCCGGACAGACGTTGTGGAGAAGAAATTGCTGAAAGCAGCACGTCGTCGGCGGTGGAGCGTATGGCCTACGGTCCCAAAGGTCATAGCAGTGCTGCCAAACATGCCCGCGGACCAAGACCATTTCTCTACATTCTTAGCGACGGTAGGATAGAGCCGATCGATGAAGTCCGAGTCTGCAACGTGAAGCTCGTAGGGATTGATGCGGACGATTGGACCTAGTCAGGATGTCAGCTACATAGAAGCTCATATGCCTCCGTTTTTGAAGAAATACCGTAGGTCTCGTGCATTTCCTGAATTTCCCAGACGTAGGAGCCCCGTTTAATGACGTCGAAATAGAACTCGTACCAGAAGGTCAGAGCTGCCAGTTTCCGACCCGGGAAATGAGCAATAGGAGAAAGATAAAGACGATAGATGACGCCGTACGCGGCGTACAACATCATGGCTACTAAGGAGCATTCCACGAGGAGAGTACTGATGTCCATGTTGACTGGACGAGACGACGATCTTTTCAGGTACCACTTTTTGGATATGCGCAGAAATAGGAATGGATGAGTGAAGCGAAGCTAAGGTGCGTTGAAAGTCGCGCTATAAGAAATTCAGCGGTAGCAATTTGTGAGGATGTGCAAGCTGGAAGTGCCTAACGGTACATTCTTCAGGATCCCGAATGGTGCAATTTATTGCATATGCAAGTCAGCAAGCCAAAGATGAAGTATAGCTAGGGAAGCTGCAGGAGTCTCCACTAAGGTATCTATTGCCATGGTAATGGCTGCATGATGATGTCACAAGCAGCCCCTTCGCAATGTGAATTGAGCTGGATAAGGCGGGCTGCATGATGCATGATGCATCGTTATTTAATTTACGAATGAAAAGCAGCGACAACCGTTGGCGCTAGTCACGACTCCACATCACACGGCACGCGCTCAGGTTCTAACTCCGACCAGCCAAACCAAAGCACGGTACAATATAAAGCTCTAACACTCTATCTGAGCACACAGCTAAGGATACCACCACCACCTCTACCTTGGCAAAACGTTATGGTCCCCCAAGTTTCTCTTCAACTTGGTGCGAGCACGTATTCAACCAACGCGTCGCCGTTTGCTTGTAGAGCGATGCGAGAAGAAACGAGAAATGAGCCACAACCTGGAGCGGTCTCCTCCATCCGGTTTAGCTGGCCCGGACGTTAAAACCGTTCGGAGTACCTTGAGGATTCGTCTTATTGACCATGTGATCGGCAATCTCTTTCTGGCACAGGCATATGAATCGCCATCGCCCCAATACCGAGACACTGGGTCGTGGGTAGATAGTGTTATGGGACGGAGGAGCACGGCAATTCTTACTTCGACCTCGGCTTATGTCACATGTGCAGCCCTGCTTGGAGTCCTTCCAAATCGCCCATTTATGTAGCTGCCAGGTGACTTTTATGTTTTCTATCGTTCCTTCCTTAAAAGATGGCAGAACAGCAGGAGAACCGCACCCCGACCATTGTCGCTACTGTGACAGCACTATGGGTATTGTCGTACATTGCAGTCGGAGCACGCTTTTGGGGCCGGTTTGTTGGACACAGCAAGTTGTGGTGGGACGACTGGCTTATCCTTCTCGCCGCGGTATGCACTTACATCGACCACTCACGTCTTCTTAAGAAGCGATTGTATCTAATGGCGGCCCAAGGTAATGCTCGTTCCGGCTCTGACAGCAGACTTGATTGAATGTCATCTCGGCGCTGGAAAACACGTGCAAGCCGTGGTCCAGGACCATCCAGGGAATATCGTCAACTTTCTTAAGGTCCTTGGCCCCCAATTGGACGTCATTGTTTGCACGCTCGGCTGACATTCTCTTCCTAGTCCATCTACGCCGGAGAAATTTTCTATCCACCCATTATCGTCTGCATCAAGTGTAGCATCCTTACCCTCTATTATCGACTCTTCGGCATTAGAAAGGGGATCGCTCGCGTTTGCCACGTCCTCCTGGGCATGACGGTGGCATGGGGCATCGCAACTTTACTCCCTGCGGTTTTTCAGTGCAAGCCTATCCACGTGGCGTGGGATCCAACGAGCACTAGAAATGAATGTTTCAAGCTGAGGCCGTACCTAGTAGGCACGAACGTCCCCAACGTTCTTCTCGATTGTGCGATCTTAGTGACGCCCTTATATCCAGTTTGGCAGTTGCAGCTGCCGAGAGCAAAGAAGGTTTTGATCAGCGGCATTTTTGTGCTAGGTGCTTGGTATGCCGTCGTTCTCGTATCTCCAAAAGATGGGACCATTTGCTTACGCTCTGCAGCGAAACCGCGTTTAGTATCGTCCGCCTTGTAGAGCTTACCAGTCTTGACATCTCCGATGTGACCTGGGACTACCTGCCCCCAATCATCTGGTCAACGGTCGAAATTTGCGTCGGAATGTTCTGTGCTTGTCTCCCGGTGATGGCGCCTTTGGTCCCGAAATTCATGCGAGGGCGATCTGGCCCCAAGGAACCTTATGATTACTCAAGCTTCGGACCAACGAACACAGCAAGGGTGACGAATGGTTTTGCGAAGCAAGAATTTGATAGGCTCGAAGATGATACCGCAGGTTTAGTTCTGGGTAGAGATCATCAGTTGAGTATCAGGCAGACTACCAACATAGACGTACATGAGGAAGGTAGCATAGCCTTACATACAATGGCTTGATAAACCGATTCTGCGTTGTAGAAATCGGGGGTCCATCACTAAGTATCCCATGTAAAGTAGCCATAGCCCAAAAACCCCATTCTTCATGCACACTTCCAGAAATGAGTCCCAAGGTACATCCATCACTGCCAAGTGTGAAGAAACTGATTTGATGTCGTCGAGTCTATGCCCGTAGCATCTCTTTGCACAACGACTTCTTTCATTAGAGCAACAGCATCTTCGTGCGACCCCTGTCCATGGAGGCAAACTGCCAGGTCGTGGGAAATCCTTAGTGTTTGCGGATGCTTTGCTCCATGGACTTCGATACTCACACTGACGGCGTCCCAGTACAAGTCCGTTGCATCACCGAGCCGACCTTCGAGCCAGTACGTGACCGCTAGGCTGATCATGCTTGTTATTGTATCCGGATGGTTGAAACCAAAGAGGTGTGATCGTCGCTCCAGAACTTCGTGAGCCAATATCTCGGCTTCTGCTAATTTGTCCTGTTTCCGATATACTTCTGCAAGATTTCCCATGATTGTAAGACGTTGCTGATGATCTACACCATGAACTTTTAACGAAAGCTCTTGAGCTTGGACGAGCAGGTTTTCGGCATCCGTCCACCGTTTCTGGTGATTCAGGTTCGCTGCCAAGTGTCCGAGGCTCGATATGTTGTCGGGGTGGTTGTGTCCCAGGCGCCGTTCCGAAATGACCAAGACCTCTCGCATAAGCTGCTCAGCTTCCACCCACCGTTGCTGTTCCTGATACGTGGCTGCCAGGTTGGACATGCTGTTTAGCGTATCTGGATGCTCTGGTCCGATACACTTTTTACTTATAGCCATAACTTGAGCCTGCAACTGCTCCACTTCTCTCAGTCTCTGTGGATCCTTGAGTGCCAAAGCTCTCATCGCTGAAGCCAAATTACTTCTCGCCTTGATTGTGTTTGGATGTTCCTCTCCAAACATGCTTATATAGAATTCCAAAACTTGTCGGTCGAGTTCTTCGACTTCCCGCCAGCGTTGTAGTTTTTCGAAGACTGAGGATAGACCGGCCAGGCCCAGGATCACTTGTGGATGATTTGGACCTAGTAATTCCTTGCTCTTGGCCATAGCCGATGATGCTAGCCTTTCGGCCTCTGCGAAATTCCCTTGTCTTTCCAGGACAGACGCCAGACGCGTCTCCACTGCCAGTGTGACGGGATGCACTTTGGAAATTCTCTGCCTGCATGCCAAAACTCGGTTGAGCAACTCAACCGCCTCGTCATCCCTTCCCTCGTCTTGTAAAATATCGGCAAGTATTTCCTTCAGGTTTTGGACCAGGAAATGTTGATCCCCAAACGCGATCTCAAAGTCAGCAATCGTCCTCGCGTATTCTTTCTTCGCTAGAACTTGCTGTCCGTGATCTCGATAATGCTGTGGATATTGGACAGGACTGATAAATCCGCTTGTCCACAGCTCCAGAAACTTCCCAGGCTGGAAAACCCTTTGATCTTCAACCTGGGCGACGGCAGCGCGGAGATCCTCCGTACGCTTTGAGCACAGCTTGAGGTAATACTCTACTTGCGACATATCTCTGGCTGTCCCAAATCCTATGTGATAACAAATCGCCAACTGGAAAGCTGCACGTTTCTGGGTTGTTGTAGAACCGCGATGGACTTTGGCTTTGAGACCGTTGTAGATCATTGTGCGAAGGCGGAAGTCTCCCCAAACAAGCTGCAAGAGCGACGAAGGAATCTGTGAATCTGTCAGGGATATACAAAACTTGTAATCTTGCAAGAGATCGTTCAGACCCTGAAATCTGTGGTATCCTCTTCTTCATTCTCAAAGAGATTTTTGTTTGTGCTTTGACAGAAGGATGAAAGACCACTATTAGATGATTAGGAGTTCTTTCCTTCTCTACATTGTGTCAACCACTACTCACCAGAGTGGATCAAGATATGAAATGAGACTTCCAATATCTCGCACTCTTTGATCCTGATCATCACAGATCGTCTTGGCAAAGAAATGGACTAGTCTTTGGCTACGTTCTGGATCATTTGGGAGATCTTGTTTCATGATCTCACACAGAGTCTCAAATAGCACCTGGCGCTCTTTCAAGTCACTCAGTAAAGCCTCAATACTTCCAGCTTGGCAGTCCTCTATTTGTGCACGTTCAGTCTTCAGTTCCAACATGGTCCTCCCAAACAACACCCACGCACAAAGCATGCCGAACGAATATATGTCCATTTTCTTGGCATGAGCGATGGGAAAGCCTCGATGGTGCCACTCAGGCGCTTGCCAAGGTGGCGATCTAGGTAACCGTACAATGTCAGTCTCACTTCGGCCAAGACAAGAGTATGCAAAGTCTGTGACGGCTACCACTGGCGGCCCGTCTGAGGACTTGTACAGTAGGATATTTTGAGGCTTGATGTCTCCATGAACAACATCTTTTAATTGTGTCAGGTTTTGTAACATTTCTAGTATTCATGTGGGTTTTATACTTTCCGTATGCAAAGTGTTAATAGCTCGGGCGATCTGAATGCACCATTTGAGTCTTGTGTCGAAAGAAACGGCTTTACCGTCTTGGCGACGCAAGTATGTATATAGATCTCCATATTCGGCCTTAGGAAAAACTAGCACTGGGTATATGGTGCCACTTGGGTCGTCGAATTCCCAGCAAATGCCTTGCAAATTGACTACGTGAGGGCTGGATCGTGTGTGCGGATTCTGAAGGACCCGAATTTCAGAAGCCAAAGCCTTGAAGACCAGTTCAGCCCCATCACTTCTAGGTTCCGAAAAACGTTTAAACGCAAAGCTTGTCTGAATGTTGATCTGTGACTGGCTGATTTGAGCGGACCCGCCCCTGCCAGCGAGTTCCTCAAAGGGTGCCCATGTGATCGGCAAGAAGTCGGTCTTGGTATGCTGAGCGATGGAGAGGAATTGGATCAAGTCAAGGGATCTGTTGTTCTCAAGGATGTCCCGTGGTGCAGCGCTATCAAAACTCAGGTTGCTAGTAGCGAAGGTGAGGAGGGAGCCCATGACAACTCCAGCTTTCAGAGGGACGACGATCTGTCGGTCTCCTTCCGTGCTTTCATTATAAGTTTTTCTTGGATGATATCCCCAAGCAAGAAATAATCGAAAGTGATGTTTATCGGCATACCTAGTACTGTGGATTGGATTCCTCGAGCAATCTTATGTAGAGTATGGCGCGTTCTAGCGTATACAGAAAGCTTTATTAGCGTATGCACAAAGGTCCCGAAGCCTTGGCGCTGAGAAAATCGCATACACCGCACTAAGAATAATATTTGATAGCTTCATCTTTTTCTCTTCGACCTTTTCATCGCTTATATAAAATGAGACTCCTATACATCTCGCTTAGCGATATCTTGATATTTCTTTCTTCGCCTACAATATCTATAAATCTTCCCTTCTTCATTCGCTCGAGGATCGTGCGCTATCTACTTCTTTTTAAACAACTGAAAATTCTAGAGTTAGATATTAATAATTAAGTAAGCGAGGTATATAGAAGCTTTATATACTTTAAAGATACCTTAGCGGAGGGCTATGAGTCGCGGTAACCGTATCTATACTAAATTAGTAAAAATTATCGCCTTTTAACGATTACTTAGTAATGTACCGTGATACTGAAAATTTTTAAATACGTTATATATTCTTAATAATGCTTTTTATAGAACGATAGTAGATTAATTTCTCTAAAAAAGCGTATTAATTTTTAATACGATAAATCTAGAAATCTAATATATTACGATAATAATTATAAATTAATAGAATAACGATATTTATATAGATATCTTAGTAATAATAGATTTACGTAAATTATCTTATAAAGTTAAATAGACTTATCTCGAGCTTAAGTAAATTTAATCGAGTGATAAAAATTTATAGAGTAAGACTATAAGATAGTTTCGTAGTTCGAATTAACGAATATATCTATTATTTGAAATTAATTAATTTTATAAATATCTTCTTCTTAATAGATCTTAACTATTATTATAGAGTTTTTAATTTTTTTTTTTCGAAATAGTTTTTGATTTTGTAACGGTTTCTCGGTTTTATAACGATGTCGTAACGGTGTCGTAACGATTTTAATCTATAAAACGTATTAAAAATATTATAGTTATTTTAACTCGATACGATTTTTTATTAACACGTACTAAGATATATAATTATTAATTATTTAGTTCGTTTTTTATTCTTTATCGTTTAAAGGCGGAGGTGGTCTACTAACACGTCTTAATAAAACAGCCGTATATATATAGTAAAAGAAGGCCGCTGCTACTCGCTAAGGTAGTAATGGAGTTACGATACGGAAGAAGATGAAGCTATCTACTACTACTACTACTACTCTTAATGCGGTGTATGCGATTTTCTCAGCGTCAAGGCTTCGGGACCTTTGTGCATACGCTAATAACCGCCAAGGCCGCTACTCGGTTTCACCCCCACAGGCGACGGAGGTGGACATGCGCTAGCGACAGCCCTAACCCTAGTATCGGAAAGCGGCCCCAATATGATAGGTAGGCAGGTAGGGCGTTATCAGGCACCAGCAGGCACAATAACCACTAAGTCTCTTTGCGCTCTTCTTTTCTTTTCTTTTCCTTTCTGTCAAGATTCTGCATCCTAACCTCAACATGGCGTATTCCTACGATCAGCTAAGCATTGAAGAATTTGAATTCCGACTACTGCTCATTGAAGCTGCAAATAATGCTCATGATCCAGTCTGCGTGAGCCTTAATCGTGTCTTCCTGCACTCGAAACCCGAATTTACGCTTGGGGACGGCCACGGAAAATTCACGCCTGATGAAAGGGGACATCCCCGATCCACGAAAACGATCAAAGTTAATGAAAAGCTTTTGTAACTACGCTGGAACCTCTCTAGCGCTCTACAAAGCATTCGAGAGTCTTGGGAATCCGATGGTCTCTGATGGATCGATGCTATATGTATTGATCAGACGAGTACATCAGAGCGCGGCCACTAAGTGGCGGAAATGAAGGATATCTACGCCAATTCGACTGGCACAAATGTATGGTTAGGACCATCGGATGGTGCGACTCCTCTGGCGTTTGCCGGGAAATTTTGGCGTGAATGAGTCATGGATGCAGCGGACAGAGAGTTTGAGGGAGATACGAGTCACCGACGCGAATCTCGAAGAATATACCACTTTTTGGAGGAGAGACTTTGCTAGAGACAACCCGGTTCGGGACTGAATTTTGTCAGATTTTGCCCTCCCGGCTGTGGTTCAATAGGGGTTGGGTTTTGCAGGAACTCTGTGCTGCGCCTACGGTAGTCTTGAAATGTGGCATCTTTCCAATTGACCGAGATTCCTTGCTCAATGCACATACAGTCTTACTACGGCATCGGGGAGGCTTAATGTTTCGATGAAGCTATGGCTAGCGAAGTCATGGAACTAATCCGTATCTGAAGTCTGTCCTGTCTGAACCTCAATAAAAGTATCGGGAGGTACAATGCCGCTATGGTGGGGAAGTATCCTCTTAGTCTCGTCACCGTCATGAATCTTCTGAGACGTACAGAAGCAACGGATCCACGCAATTAAGTCTATGCAGCACTAGGTCTAGCAAATCGTGATGATCAAACGTCCATCGACTACGTCCGTCCATTTGAAGAGATATATGCCCGTGTCGCTCAAGAGCCGATACAAAGAAAAAAAACATTTCGTATCCTAGGATACTGTAGCTACACCCCCCAAATCGCAGATCTTACCGTCCTGGACCGCGGATTGGAGTGACACAACTAAGCATTCATCGAGAAATGTTGCCGCAGACGGGAAACGATGCTCGCCAGCCCGGATTCAGGACCAAGTTTACCATTCGCAGCAGAATCCGAGTTCTATGTTCGCTTTGAGGACGGCGGCAAAACGATGATCGTCAGAGCACTACTATCCGGTGAAATTACTTTCACCTCATCTCTGTACATGAGGCTCAACCCCGGATGATGAAGAACACCCGCAGCGAAAAGGGCTCGATAAGGACACCAATGATCTCGAAGGTATTACTCTCAATTCCAAATGGCTGCGAGAGTGGGCAGAATCTCAATCGCACTGAGCTACCGGCAGCTTCGGGCTCATTGATCGGCAAGGCTGGTCGTTTCCTCCCGATACGAACCACGGAGCTTTTCAGCAGCCGACGTCCATACCGACCAACGAGTCCTTGCCCGCAGCGTATGTGGGGACCATAGCCGCTGACGTCGTGGTGGACCATGCCCCTCGGCTATTCCGTCCGCACTCGAGATTGAGGGGCAGGTATAACACAAAGCTTGCATGACCCAAACGATCTGGCGGACGTTGTTGCCCTGAGGCTTCAGGGAAGAGCGTTGGCGGTCTCGGAACAAGGGTTCCTCGCTCTCGTACCCGCCGAGACTCGTGTCCGCGACGTGATTGCAGCTGTGCAGGGGAGCGAGCTTCCGTTCATCTTCAGGCCGTCGGACCGAGGCTGGCTCTCCGTTAGACAAGCGTGTGTCCACCGGTTTATGGACGGTTATATTCGAGAGGTGATATGCGAAAGTGGAAAATTTGAGAGATGTGCACATTATTTGAGTCTTTGACTGACTTTCGCCATTGACCAGGGACGGAAGTACATGTCAAAAGTCAGGTATGTGCAGTGTACTATTCTATCTCAGGACTCCCCTGGGCAAGTCCCTGTACCCCGTACCAAATTAGGTGGTTGTTCGAACAGGTGGCTGGGAGGAGGCTGGGAACCTGATTTCGACAATATGTTCATTGCAAATGTCGGTAGTCCAAGCTACGAAGGGCGGCCGAGCACAACCCAGTGGACTTCTAGTATCCAGGGCTCATGTTCGAGGTAGCCACTTTTAGGGTGAGCAGGGGTGGTGAGCACTCGTCTTTTCACTAATCCACCACCCAGGTTTGAACACCCTAAGGCCGGGCCTTTCGCAGTACGTTCATTCCCGACCCTTCCTCGACTCTGCCCTTCATTCCACACAATCATAGGCCGCACAGCAGTGTTAGGCGAGCAGTTTCTGGAGAAAGCCATTGCCAAGGGCTACGAGGCGGGTGGACATCAGGACGGAGACAGCGTCAGAGACAGTACGAAGGATGTGAAGAAGACCCTTAGGGACCAGGATTGGGCGTTGGGACGCCAGGAAAGGCGATTGAAAAGACCCGCTCAACCTCACCCCTCCCCTCACCCCCTCTAGAGCCCCATGCTCAAGTCAAAAACCTTGTATCTACGCCTCACGCTTTAGCAACTCAAAAGGGAGATCAAGTAGCCATGTCTCGTCTCGACTCGAGGTCGCACTCGCCACCGGTGAGGACTCCGGATGTCGTTCCAAAGGAACGGGTCAAATTGGCAACATCCCCTTCACACACTTGCTTTGCAAATGGCCGCAAAGAAAATTAATTGATCTCAACAACAGGTCCCGTGTAGATGCGTCTAGCCCAGAAATAATAGTAGCCTGTGCTAAACGCGATTACCGCCGCGGTGACAAGGGCAGTGTAGTTCATGCTCTCAGCCGTGACCGGCAGCTCTGACGGCCACATGCAGAAAAAGATGAGGATGATCAAGTACACGCAGGCAAACGCGTTGACCACTATACCGTACATGCCTGGAATGTACCACGGTCCATATACTAATTTGGCATCATCAGAGTCGTCACTAGCGAGGCTCATATGGCGCGGCACTATGCCGCCAGTACAGCGTCGGTAGAGGAGAAGGCCGGATGCGATGAGATACGAGGAGTTGAGCCCGGCGACAGTGACGCCGACTAGGTCGTTGAAGGCGGTAGATGAGCCAAGGACGACGAGGGAGAGGATGATGGAGATGAGCATGGTGAAAAGGATGGACCTGATTGGAAGGGCGGTGCGCGGGTCAACCTGATTCAAGTGAAGTCACATCAGCTTCACACATCAGTATGTCATCTCCAAATTGTGACAACGGAACTTGAGTGGGCATCTTGAATGGGTCGCTCAATGGGTCTCTCACATGTTGCAAAAATTGCCATCCCGGCAAACCACGATCTCGGCAGAAGGACCAGCACATCCGGGAAGCTGTGGCGAGAATGCTGATATTTGCAGAGAACGTCATGACCGTTACGATGCCGGCCATAGCGGTGGCGCCAGCGACGGAACCTGTGGAGTCGACAAAGACTTGCATGTAGGGGTAATTCGTTGTTGTCTTCAGTGCTTTTTCGACATCGTTCAGACTGAACAGCGTGACGAGTAGTACGGCGAATCCCAAGGCTCCGTTTATAAAGATACTGACCATGATGGAGCGTGGCACCACGAGAGCAGCGTTATGAATCTCTTCAGACATCTGCCCGTCATTAGCTTGACTAATTTAGAAAGAGATCGTGGAGTCTGTGAATATACATGAATGGCACCATCCGCCCCTAAAGATCAGGTTAGAGCGGGGCCTTGTTCTCTATTCAGCCGAAGCATCGCACTCACCTAAAAATGGAAAGGCAGTACCTACAAGCCCGACCATGAACGACAAGCCTTTAGCGGGCACTTTCCGGTGTTCAGAAAGGTACCAAACACCTTGGAAGCGTCCTGATGTCGGCCGAAGAAGATCAGGGGAAGGATGACAGCAAAGAAGCCTAGAATGTGCACCACCAGGATGAGACCCTCGACCCTCGGAAGCAGCCTGCCGATAACGGTATTTACAAAAACCGCGAAGCTAACCGCGGCCCAGAAGAGCAGTACTGCGTGCCATGGTTTAGGGTCGTATGAGGGATGTGTCATGGTTATCAGTCCTTGGACGAGCGTGCCGGAGATGTACGAGACTGACGCGACATTAGCCTGCCACCCCCAGGCTGTGAGCCAGCCTGTAAATCATCAGAGCCCGCAGAACTTGATCGAAGTGATTTCAACCTGCCTGTGACGTAGCTGAAGAACTTTCGTGAATGATGTGGCGCGAGCATGGAGACCCAGTGATACTGGCCTCCAGCGGTAGGCGCCCTGCCAAAATTAGAAGGAGCTGGATAGTGTTTACCTTAGGCATACATTGAAGCAAGCTCACTGAGAGAAGCGAACACCGCAGCAGTGCCCGCCCATACTATGATGAATCCGTAGAGGAGCCCAGCTGGGCCACCACTGCATGCGTCGTCAATGATCAAGCCATCACGTACAGCGGCGGCAGGAGGCATACTTGTCGAAGCCAAGTTGAAAGAGACTTGGATTGAGTTAGTCACCATCTCTCTTCTCGCATGTCTGCCATGCCTACTTCAAGCTTGCTTCCCAGGTGGTAAGAACGGTGCAGCTGAAGCCCAGCATCGACATGAACCCGAAGTTACGCTACAGGTAGAATACATTAGTCTTCGTAACAACTTGACGGCTAACTCCAGACCTACTCTCAACACTGGCTTCTTGCCCAACCGGATCAGATCAGCTCGGTCAAGATCTACTGAACCATTTTGCGTGGCATCATTGCCCTTGATGACGACCCAGTTCTTGGACACCGGTTGTAATTCTTGGCCGTGCATGTTGGACCTTATGATAGAAGAATTTCGAGTGTACGCTATGAAGAGATGATGGACTGTGGAGATTAGATAGAAATTGCTGGGGGGATTGATACGAATATTTGCCCTCTTCAGACCGATTGTCGAGGGCTGAGATATTGAGGGCTGCATGTCCACAGCAACCACCACCAGACTCTCTGAGTGGAGAGGCTTGACGGAAGATAGATGGAGTACGTTCCAAACCGCTGCACGTCGCGGATCACCGCCCAGTTCATGGTATAGCGTCGTTCGTCTAGCCCCATCAGGAGCACTATGTGAAGCCTTGGCGATGATCACCTTCTTGTTTCAAGATGCGAGAGATTTTTAGAATACCACATACACGTACACTCTGTTTCGACACCCCCTCCATCGAACATAATCTCTCACAGCCTTATCCTTTAGACGAGTCGGACCGACTTTCTAACAGAACAGATCATAACACAGCAACTTTAACCCACATTGATTGTATCACACCCTTGAGTATTGCAGGAGTCGGATCCGTTCAGTGTATAGTTGCCTTCAAAAACATAGCAAGATTGATATGCATTGCAGAAAGTCCTGATGAAAGGTACTTGCAGGCCTATATTACCGATCGACAAGCGATAAGGTACTAGTACCTCGGAACCTAAAGTAAGCAATCATTGGGCCCGTGCCGCTCTTAGTTCCGGAATATAGCGTGATATCAATGGCGTGAGAGTACCTTACCTAACACTCACAACCCCTAAGGTAAGGTTAACTTCAGACGAGCGATACAAAACGCCACCGAGAGTCTTCTCAAGAGTCAAGACATGGGATCTCATACGTGTACCACCCCTTTTCCATATCCTCACGACCTCTCAGATTGAGCTAGTATCCGCGACCATCCGAGAAACACATGCGCGCTGGGGTCCGCGAATCCACGTAAAGGTGTGAGACACTTCCTTTAAAAACGGATCCGACTTGCTTTGAGAATTGCGTGTGTGAGCGCAACGCATGTCAGAGTCGCCGCGTTTTCGAGGCAACTCTGCATCAAATCCGTGAGTGTACGCCGCATGTTTGCTTCTGCGCGCATCACGGGGCTAATCACCGAATCGTAGCCCAAACTTATGAATCCTGACTGAATCATACACCGACACCAAAACTGGGGGTATGGTTCGGTAATTTATCAAACCTGCCATGGTGGCCTACTTGAATGGCCGTTCTTGTAGATGCAGCTAGGTGCCTGTGCCTATGCTGCCCATCAAGAGTGTAATCTACCTTAGGTGCGTATGCCTGTGTAGGCTCTTGGGAGTGGAGTGAGGAGTGTGGGTGAGAGCCATAGGCTGGGAGGCCAAAGTTAGCCCACTCGGCTTTCGTCTGATGTACGTATCTAAGCTGGTAGATCACACATTGAATGCGGTCAGAGAAATCCCCCTTATTTCTATGGTCGGATGGCCCGGGTCGACTTTTATTATGAAGCGCAAAGTACCGAATTATACCCCAAGTAATGGCAAATTACCGAATCATACCCCTAGGGGTATGTTTCAGTAACTAGGGGTATGGTCGGGTAAGGAATCCATAGTTTTTGGGGTATGAATTAGTAATCAGGCCGGGCATCACATGTACTAGTACCATGTTCCTTCCATCATATCTGATTCTAGGCCCAGACGTCGCCTGGCCGCGCTCAGTGATCTACGGCCATGGAAGACCCGAAAGCCCGAATGTTTTGACGAAAAAGAATGCTACGCCAATCGCACAGCACCCTGTCTGCGAGTCGAGCAGCACCCGCATGATTGGCACCCTACAGGGGCCCGTGGTGGCCAGTGGACTGTGGTGTCGCACCAGGCTGTACCATGCCTGCCAGAAGATATGCAACCCCGCGACCGATGTGCATCCGATCGGCATAGATCCAAGCCTGAGTCATGTTGCAGAAGTGCAGGACAAACATGCATATGTAGGGGCTTTCTACCTTTTATCCACTAACATCAAATCACCGAGCCTCAGCTCGTGGTGTCTCGTTCTGAAAGCACCCAGATGTGCCGCGTCTTCTTTTCCCCGGTCTCCTTCACATCCCGTGACATGACCCTCCCACATTTATAGCCGACATCTTTTAGGTATCTGTATAAGGGCTCATCGGGATCCCAAGAATCGCACAATTCGCTAGACTCGTACTCATCAGTACACGAATTATGGATACTAGTATCACGCTTGCTGTCAAGGCCATGACCGTGTTCCTCCTAATAACCTCCATTTTGGTTGTCATTGCAAGGGTAATCACCAAAGCTGTCATCGTTCGCTCAACAAACCTTGATGATTATCTGATCGCCTTGTCTTTCGTAAGCACGATAAGTCATCTACACTGCGAACCGCGACATGAACGTCTAGCTTACACGCGGCCTAAATCCAGCTTTTCAACATTGGACAATCAGTGGCCGTGTTTTTCCAGGCTGAGCATGGCTATGGGATGCCATCCAAATTATTGAGCCCGTCATCGCTGTCCTCCGAACTCAAGGTTTGTGCCACACCATCTCTCGAGCAAGTCTTTCCAATCTGACCGAGTCCAGTCTGAGTATACGGCTGCGCTGCTATACATTCCAAGCCTGTTGTTTGCAAAACTTGCGGTCCTAGCCCTGGTTAAGACCATCACACCTAATCGATGGGACCGTAGGGCTGCATATTCAGTAGCAGCCTTAGTTGTTCTTTGGGCAACAACGGGAGAATTTGCAGCTGCTTTTATGTGCCACGTTCCAAACACTTGGGAGTGGCCACACGGGCAGTGCAATGATCGCGTACAATTTCCCTTGTACTCCTCGCTATTTTCCTACTGATCAGGAATTAGCATGCTTTCTGGAACTACCTCGAGGTCACAAACATACTTACCGATACCGCACTTATTGCCTTACCGCTGATCATGATCTCGAGGATACGAACGTCCTTGGCCACAAAGGCGTCTGTCTTTTCATTTTTTGGCCTTCGTATCATGTAAGTCACCATATTTCGCCAGGTAAATTCGTGCTCATTTGACGGCAGAGTCATCGCAGCTTGTGTGTGCAAGCTCGTCTTTTGGAACAGGACCTCAGACCCGACAGATCCTACCCTCGATACTTGGCCGGCCACCATTTGCACCCAGATCATACAGAGCCTGAGTATATCTTCCGCCTGTTTCCTCTATCTCAAACCATTCCTAGATAGTGTTCAATCCGGCTTTATTCGAAGTGATGATCTGCGTCGCCGCGGCAGCGACTATAAGTCTGGAAGCACTTCCACGGCAAGGAATGTCTTTTCGGTGGACAGTGTGAGTCGAAGCAAAGTCATTGGTACGAGACTGCAGTCTTTAAGCAAAACCCATTATGCTGCAGATATCAAAGGAGGACATGCAGCGAACAGAGACGACTCGGAGAGTCAGCACAGCCGCACTCAGATCATTAAAGAGACGAGGACGTTTGCCGTAGAGACATTCCCAGATGTTCACGATACTTCACCATACCGCTCCAATGATGTGTAGTAATATAGGATATATGATAGCATGTTTATAGAGATAGGCATACCAAGGCTGCAGCCACGGTCGTCGATGCGCATTATCCAAGTGACTGATGATGGGTATGGGAGACGATGTCCACTTTTGGTGCTGAATCCGTTTTCAATCATATCCCGCGTTTCACACTGTGTTGCCGAAAGCTGTCTATCCTTGGCCACAAGATAAGCGTGGGTCGTGAGTTTCATCTCACTAGCCTGTTCCAAGATCATACACAACAGCACGGGTTAATTGTTATATAAAAGACCACATCGTTATAAGGCCCCTTTGCATATAAGATACCGTTCAAAATAACGGTTTTCAGACGTAGGCCATAATTAGACTGTAAGATAGGGGTCTCAGCAGTCTGCTGAGTAGAGTAATGATACTTAATTATACTAAGCCCCCAGGGTAAAATCAGAAATATCTTCTCCGTAATCCTCTTCGTAGTATTTAAATCTATCGATAATTAATCGAGTAAATCTTTAATAGTAAGGAAAGTAGAATAATAAGTAGTCGAAGTAGATATAGGCTATTTGTAATACTCTACGCCCTCAAATCAGATACCATCTTTCTTTTAGAGATATTATCCCATCTAATAAGAGCGTCTCTTCTGATAAACGATAACGAGCTTAGTAAGGCCACGGACTAGCGCCTTAGGTCATACGATACCACAGTGTTATAAGGCCCCTTTACACATAAAATACGGTTCCAAACGATGATCAGATGGACGCTTCGGCTATATGGTAGTATCTTATATGCCAATTAATTCGGTATCTGGAAACCATGCCGCATTTCGCCCCCACGCCACTGCAGCTTGGGCGGCTACGGTAGCGAGGGTAAAAGGCACCGATCATCATCCTCAGCCCGTCTTCTCAATTGTATGTATACCCAAGTATCGAGCGCCCTCAACTCTTCCTTCCCAAATCCTCTCGAAAGATGAACTGAATATCCTACGCGGAGCGCTGACCTTGGTTGCTTTGTAAACCACCCTTGCACGCACCTTCCGCAACCGCATCACGGTCTCTTTCAATCACCATCGCAAACATGGATGCCGCCAGCTGGGGTCTCCCCCCCTCTTTCCAGCGCCACATACATAGTCCAAGACTGAAGGCAGAGCGGGAGCGAGCACGGAATGCCGCTCTACTGCCCACCTCCCCTCCTCCCATCCACCAACACGCGGGTCCATATAATCGACAATACCAGCAGCCGCAGCCTTACTACCAGCAACACGGGGGGCATCCACCACCCGGGTATCCACCACCAGGGTATCCACAGCAATCCTTTCCACCACAGCAAGGCATGAACTACCAACAGCAGCAAAATGGCCCACCACAGAATTATTATACGAATAATGGTGGGAGGAACGGGGCCGCCGAGGGGGGTTTGTTCGCGGCTCTGGCGGCAAGTTTGGCCTGTTGTTGTTGCTTGGATGTCTGTGTTTTCTAGCGGGGGGACTGGAGTGGCAGAGGAGGTTTGCTCACGCCTTTTTTCTTCTTCGGAGCTTTTGTGTAAAGATCCGCGCTTCTGCTTCTTGAACAAGCTCCTGCGAATCCTTCGTTAAAAATGCATCCCGTCGCTGATGGTTCAAGAGGCTAGGCCTCTGGGGATCATTGATACAATTAATTATATGAAGGAGGGTGTCAATATATCGAAATAGGGAACGGTTCCGGACCAGTTCCTAGAGAATATACACTGTTGAAGGTAACTATCGTACCCAAGATTCCGCGGGACCGACTGGAAGACCCTCTTCTGGCCAGGGCTGGCAATGGTGGACCAAGTAACTAGTCCACTACCAGTGGAACCGTTAGTTTCTCGTAGTTGATGGTGTAGTTTAGGGTCTACCGGTTGATAGTTGGTGTAGTTCTAACCGCAAAACCAGCTGGTTCAACTGATAGTGAAGTAGTTTATAATAATCTTTTTAAAAAGTCGGTTTTTTGAGTTAAAACAGGCCAACATTTATAGAGTTAAAGTAGGGCTGAAATAGGGCTGATAGGGCTTTTATGAATTGCAAATTAAATAAGAATGCTTGGCAAAGCTGATTCAACTCCGCCTCCGACTTTTTGTTAGCGCCATTCATAGAAATTTGTAAAAAAACGTACTTCAGCGTGCCCAATTCTTGCTCGAATTCCATTGGCGACCTGAAGCCGTAGCTACGAATGTCTATTTTAGTATATCAACGACGTATCGATAGGAGCGGAGCCTTACTATCTATAATAACACCGTAATCTCTTATAATAGGTATATTTATATATAAGAGCGATGCCGTAGCCTCTTATCTACTACTTTAAACGCTCTTCTTAACTATTAGCGAGATTTCTAAAGTATATAATCGATATTAGTGACTGTAATAGATTTACGATAGAGTATTTCAAGTAGAGCACTGTAGGCTACATATTTAACGGCGAAATTAAAATATTTAAATGAGATTTAAAGCATTTAACTATAGAGATAATAGAGTAGTTACGGGCTCGAGTAGTTATAATAAAATACTACGTAATATTAATTAAAATCCTTTATCTTCTCTATAACCTTCTCTCTAATCTAATTATTTTAGAGTATAAATATGTTAATAAGAGTGGGCTGGTATAAGAGTAACGTATAGAGGGATTCTTTCTGAATGATAATATCGCGTCCGGAGTAAGGGCTAGCGATGTGGTTATTATATACCTAAATTAGAGATAAAATACTAGAAAAAGCGTATATATTTACTAGCTTCGATATTACGAATATTTAACTAAGATAATAGATAATAATAGATAGATTTAGTAACGAATTTTAAAAGAATAATTTAAAGTGAAATTAGCTCTATTTGACGGTCGCTAATTTAACTAGATAATATCTTAAACTTAGCGTAATCTAATTAAATCTATTATAATTTTCTATTAACTTTATCTAATCTTTTTATTTTATTATATTTATATATTATAAATGCTTTTAACGAGAGAGATATTATTACTACGATCTTTCTAGTATTATTATTAAGTTTTTAGATTATTATCGCTACTACGCTACGTTATAGATATATATTCTTAATAAAATACGATTAATTTAAATTTGATCTTAATAAATGAATATCGAAACGATTACGAAGAATTATATATTTTATAAAAGAGGAAATATATATTTTAATTAATTACTTTAATTTAGAAAGTATAGAGTATCGAGAGCGAGTACGATTTAGTCTAGAATTCGCTTTATATTTACTATTAAGTAAGCTTTCGTAATTATAATTACTCTTTAAATTTATATAATCCTTTAAACGCTTAGAAAGCTACTTATCTATTATATTAAATAATATATTTAAATATTTATAAAAGCGTTATAATTCTATTCTTTATTAATATTTCTTACTTATTTATAATCGAATTTATTAATATACTCAAATTATTAAGTAACTTAATAGTTATCATAGACGAAGTACTATTTAAACTTTTATTAATAAAACTTTTTAAAGAATTATATAATTAAAGTAGAGAGAGGAGTTCTTCTACTTCGCTTATAAGAAGTTTTATAATATAATTTAAATAGTAATTACTTATCTAGACGATCTTATTAACGCTAGCTTTAATTCTCTTAATTATAAGATAGTAGATATTATAATACTTTAGAAGTTCGATATATTTAATAGATTTAATAGAGTCTTTAAAGAGAAGCTTAGACGCTACTATATCTTTAGAACTAAGATTTATATCTATTAATATTACGTTATATTTCTTTATATAAACTTAATCTCTAAAAGAAAGCGACGCTTTAATATATAAATAATAATTATTAGAGTTATAGTAAAATATAGCTTTAGATAAATATAAAAGCTATAAATATTAAATACTTTAAAATAATAAATAAAGATAGATCTTTAGTCTATAGGAGATCTCTATCGAGTAACGATATTATTAATAAATTATTATATTTACTTTCGAGAAAACGAAGACGTAACTCGATTTAGAATACGATCTTTTATTATTTATTAATATCTCGATATAATAGATTAATAATTTAATATCTAAATTATTTTAACGACTTTAGTAAGCTCTCGCTAGTAATCTATTATATATATAAATCGTTTAAATTAATACTAGACGTTTTTATAAATCTCGCTATCGCTATAAAGTACGCGATAAAAAAGTAAGATATAATAATATTTAAAGAGGTAAATATTCTTCTCTTAGAGATATAAGTAGTTAGTCCGATTACGCTTATAGATTTTACTCTCTTTTAAATTAAATTTATATTATAATTAAATATTAAAAAGAATATTTATAAGACTAAGCGCTTTCTATTTCTACGCTATCTATTTTCTAATATTTCTTTATAAAAATTTAAATTAGCTATTTTCTACTCGTTTAAGATATCTTTAAGAATATAAATATATTAAATTATATTCTTTCGAATATTTTAAAGTTCGCTAGAAATTTAAGAAAGTATAATAAACTTTTTATAAGTAAATTTACGTAAATATTTAAGTCTAATAAACGTATTTTTAATAGTAATAAAGAATTACTTAAGAATCTTATTACTTATTAATTAAAGTATCGTTATATTATAAAAAATAGATATTCTTATAACATTTTTAGATAATAAGATATATATATTAAATAATATTATAATACTACTTTTAATCGCATTATTCGTTTTTTTAAAATAAACTATTTTAACGATTTCGATTCTTTTAATTTATATACTTTTAATAAGACTTTCTATATACGATTTATATATTATAAATATATATAATCTATAATCTTAAAAGAGTATTTATATATCTCTTCGTTATCGCTATTAATATTAGAAGTATCGATTTATATATTTCTTTCTAATATCTCGCTATCGCTTTATACTTTATATTTATCTTTAAATATATAATTTAAGACTATTTCGAGACGTCTTATATCTATATCTCTTATATTATAATCTTAAAAGTTTATTTTAAAATCTCTATTAATATATAATTAACTTTATATAATATCGCTAATATTTCTTAGCTTCGTTTAAATAATAATATTCTTATATTCTTTAACTAAAAAATATAAGATCTAATTTTTTTAAATAATAAAATTTTAATTAATTATACTCTAAATCTTCTTATTTATATCTTAAATCTTATTGTTAAAATAAATCTAATTATTATTAAATTAGATTACGCGCCTAGTAATAGTAAGTAATACTTATTATACGAGATTTATCTTATTATAAATTTTCTTGAATTTTCTTATAGAAAGCTAGTTCTTTATATCTATCTATTCTTTCGAATTATTTACTATAAATCGATCTATTAGCTATTTTAGAAAACGAGTTATAATTAATTCTAATTCGGCTATTTCCTCGATAAATACGATTTCTCGAGATATTCTTTTTCTATACTATTTACTAGCGATATTTCTCTTCTTCTTTCTTTATAAAAGTAGTTTTTTAAAAAACTTACTTACGCTATTTAGATCGTTAATTAATATATATATATAGTTAAAAGGGTCGAAAGTAGAGCTTAATCGCGTGTGATTAGAAGGGTCGAGGGTAAAGCTTAATCGCGTGTGATTGAAAGGGCCGAGGGTAGGGCTTAATTATATATAATTGGAAGGGTCGAGAATAGAACTTAATCGCCTCGATTCTATTAATCGTATTAATATTATAAATAAAGATATAGAATAATAAGATATAGAAGAAATATCGTTAGTATTACTCTCGTCGTTAATATTATTATTAATATTATTATCTTAAATAATAATCTTATTATTTTTATCGTCGAATATATTAATAATAATATTCTTCTTCTTATTATTTATTCTCTTATTAAAACGTTTACGATCTTAATTATAATATTTTAAATCTTAAAGCTTCTTTTCTTTAGCTACTTTATTAATATTCTTCTTTTTCTTAAAGATCTAAATTACTATATCTTAATTATTTATTATTTAAATTTATATATTCTTTTATATCTTATAATTATAATTTACTTTTATATTCTATCTTAGCTAATTATATTTATAATTAAAATACTTCTTTATATAATATTTAATACTCGTATAATCTCGCTTAATAACCTTTATAAATTTCTCTTATACTCTTTTTTAGAATCGTTTTATCGAGTTTACTCTATATCTCGCTTAATATTTAAAAGTAATATCTATAATAAAAATCTTATTATTCTCTATTAATCGCTTTTCTATTATAAAATACTAATTTAGCTATTATTTATAATAACGTTTTTTTAGTATATATAATATAAGAGTCGAAGTTAAGGTTTAAGAGTTTTTTATTAATCAATTACTATTAGTTTAATTTTATAGATTCTTTATTATTTATCTTTATTTATTTATATATAATCTTATAGTATTAAAATTATTCTATAAAGATAAGTTATTACTATCTTTTTTCTTAGCTAACAATATCTTCTTAACTAATAATATATATTTCTTCTCTTTATTCTTTCTCTTATATATAATTTAAAAACTCTTTCTTTTCTTCTAAAAGGCTTTCGAATAAAATTATTTCTTCTCTTTTTATTTATAAAGAGAAGTAGTTAAACGTTATAAAATCATAAGATCTTTATTCTACTAATAGTATATTAGAGATTTTTTAGAATTAATTAAAAGTATAATAGATCGTATTTTAAATAAATAAAAAAGAAAAGTAGCGCGATAATAATTTAATATAGCTTTAAAAGATCTATATATTATAAAGAATTATTAACTTACTAATAGAATAGAATTTCCTAATAAAATAAAGGCGACTTTAAATAATATAGAGTCGTTTCTTTTAGATTAAAACTTCTTTATAAATCTTATATTTAATATATAAATATTAGAAATCTCTTTTCGCTTAGTTATTACTTATTAGAAGATAGAAGATATATATAATAAAAGCTTAATAGATTTACTAGCTAATTATTTAATTTTATATATCTAAATAAATAATTACGCTAACGTCGTATAGAATAACTTTATAATTAAATTACTATTTTATAATATAAAATAGTAATTTAATTTATAGATAATCGATAAGGCTAATAACTACTCTATATAGTTAGCCTATTAAGTTATTACCCTTTTCGTTTTAAATTATTCTTTTAAATCACGTTACTAAATCTATCTGTGGCTATTATAAGAGTAACAAGTACGTTCTCTACAATTTTCTATGAACGACGCTAACAAAAAGTCGGAGGCGGAGCTGAATCAGCTTTGCCAAGCATTCTTATTTAATTTGCAATTCATAATTGACACTTGATATAGGTATTGCCCCCCCTCCCCCACTGAGCGATATTTTAGCTTTTATTACAACTGCTCCACTATCAGTTGCACTGATAGTGGGGTAGTTGGTTTTCAATATATGGTAGTTGGTGTAGTTTCGATTTCTAAATCTAGTAGTTAGTGCAGTTTGCCCTCCAAAACCAACTATTTCCACCGTTGCCAGCCCTGCTTCTGGCCTGCGGTTGTGTGGTGTAGAGGGACTAAGTGTCGCAGCTTCCTCTCGTCCTCGTTGAACTCGATCAGCTAATCTCGCCTGTTCCTCAGGAAGCATCCGATTGCTGTCATTAATAATCTTGAATGTCAAGTTCTCTTAGTTGACTTCCTCATCCTGCAACGCCTCCGCAGTCAACCCCTCTACCTGTTGTTGTTGTTAATGACTTAGCTGCTGCTGAACACATCATTCCATGGCCTCCTGATATACGGACGCATGGACAATCCCATCGTCAATCTCATTTTCAACTTCCTGGTCCTCGATCTCGTTCTCGTTAACCTCACGCATTCCAACAGGCGCACGCTTGTGTTTGGGCTTCCAATTGAAGACAACTTCGTATGGAATGGCCTTAGTGGCCCTACGATAGGTGCTATTGAGTTGCAAGGGGCAAATTACCGAATCATACCCCGAAAGTACGAATCCTTACCGAATCATACCCCTAATTACCGAATCATACCCCTACACCAAATCACACCCAAATATGGGGTATGATTCGGTAATTTGCTATTGCTTGGGGTATGATTTGATAAGTTGTCAAAAATGATAGCTTTCTGATATGAGAGGGTTTAATGAAGTTAATGGTAGCGGTAGGCTTACTGAGCGTCTGGTAGTAGTCGTCGACTTGATTATTAATGACGGTGGTATTTACGCTGCGCAACGGGGCGGGGTTCGAGGCGGGGTTCGGGGCGGGGTTTGACCCCCGAAGCTTACCCCGCCCCGTTGCGTAGCGTAGTAGGAATTATTCCTTCGGGGGCCCTACGGGGCCTACGGGACCCGAATAGGCGTGTCTTCAGCGTGAAGTGCGGACACCCCCGGGCTCGAAATTTTGCCCACTCGGCTTTCGTCTGATGTTTTTAGATTGATAGAATTCTCATCAAATGCGATCGGAGAAACTCCCTTATTTCTATGATCGAATAAGCCAGATCGCGGATTATCTCCTTCGTAGTTTGAGGCTACTTTGACAACTTATCAAATCATACCCCAAGCAATGGCAAATTACCGAATCATACCCCATATTTGGGTGTGATTTGGTGTAGGGGTATGATTCAGTAATTAGGGGTATGATTCGGTAAGGATCCATACTTTTAGGGTATGAATTAGTAATTCGCCCGAGTTGCAAGGCAAATTCCTAAAGTTCAAAAAGTCAGCCTTGAATTTCTCCTGCCGCAAATGGCATTTTGCAATCATATATCCTCAAATGACCCCTTTCAGGCCTAACAAAGTGCAAATTGGAGATACATTAATGTAGCTTTTCAGAGAAGACAAAGGCCAAAGAACAACTCAAAAAGAAGTTTACTACTTACCTCCAAAGCAATAGCCCAGTGTGTGCTCCCATGCTCCCTCTTCGAACTGGCGATCTTATTCTTCACGGTGCCGTTGGCCTGGTCGATGAGATCCTGGATCCGAGGCGTTCTAGGGCGGCTATTGATCACCCTCAACGTCTTATGAGTACTAATATAACTTTAATTATAATTAAATTTAAATTATATATCTTTAAGAGTAATAGCTTAATATCGAGCAGCGAGCTATTAATATATACGAGGGTTTTAAAAAAACCTATATACTAGTCACATGAAGAGTAGGGCCTTCCCCTATCAAAATCACATATAAATCTACCTTTTTTCTCCACGATCGTTATGTCGTCGCCGTACAGCTATACGTTATAGAAAGAGTAGTATATCCGAATACGTAGTATCGTTTTTCACGAGCATTTTAATAATAAGAAATCATATTGAAAAATCGAAAATAATATCGATATTTTCTTTTTTATAATTTAATTCTAATATATTAAGTACTCGAATAATTCTAATATAAATAAAAATCCTTATATATATAATTTTAAATATAAGAAGCTTCGAGATTATTCGCTTTTAATCTCGAATGCTTAAATATAAGAAATAAAGTTAATTTTAGAGATTTAAAATAGCGAGTATTCTATAAAAATAAAAGTAATAAATCTAATAACTTAAAAATAATTAAACTTTAAAATAAATCTCGAAAAAGAATATAAATAGATAATTAAATAATATATGAGATTAATGAAATATTATAAGTATACTACTTATTAAAGAGATTAATATAATAAAGATCTTATTAAATAAAGAGTAAAATATACTAGACTTATAAAAGAGAGATATCTTATACTCGAGAACTAGTTTTATATTTAATACTCTAATAAATATTATTTTAACTAGAGTCTATAAGATAAATTATAAAAAATTCGAAAGCTAGATTAGAGATACTATTAATTATATATTTAAAATATAAGTTTAAATCTATAAATTAAATTTGTAAAAGGTAATTAATTATTTTTTCTAATATCGATATTAAATTCGACTCTCGAAGAGTAAAAATACTTTAATTTAAGATTTACTTAGAACTATAAGTAATAAGATTAAATTTTATAAATTTTAAATTATTATAAAGTATAAGTAAAGGTCTATGAATTAAATTTATAAAGTTGAATTTTTCTAAGTTAAATCGAATTTTAGCCCTAGCCCTAAGTTAAATCGAACTCTAATCGCTTACTCTACGTTTTTAACCTACTTTCATTACTATAAAATTAATTTAATCTATATAATATATAGATATATATATGTGAAAAGAGGCGCGCTAAGATTTAATTAGAAAAGTATATCGAGTATAGAGAATTAATTCGTAATAATTATCTATAAAAAATAAAGAAAGACTATATTCTTATAGTAAGAAGTATTAAAATATCGGAAAGAAATAAAGATAATGTGTTAATTAGTAATATGAATCTTATAATATCTTCTATCGTAGTAAAATCTTTCGAATAATAAGATAGCTATAGACATCGAATAGTTTTAATTCATTTAAATATATATCGTTCGATATTTCTTCTATAGAGACTTAATTAACTATAATTATTATAATAGATTCTTCTCTTATAACGTTATTATAGTAATATATTATATTAATATAATAGAAATAATAGACTAAGTTATAGTAATATTCTTTACTTATTAAGTAATAATTTAACGTAAGATCTTAGAGAGTAGAGCCGTATTCTTAACGATAATAATCTTATTATCGCTTGATTTCTCCGTAGTATTCTTTATAGTATTCTTCGTAATATTCTCCGCATTAGCCTATTATAGTTTCTTCTTTTACTTCTTCTCTTATAAAGTATTAGATTAAGTAGCTAGTTAAATAATTAACTAAGTAAATAACTAAGTAATTAACTAATAACGCTTACTAAGTAATAATTTAATATAAAATTATAAAGAGTATATAATATAAGATTTTAGAGAGCTAAGCCGTATTCTTAACGATAATAGCTTTATTATCGCTTAGTTTCTCCATAGTATTCTTCGTAGTATTCTTTACATTTATCTATTATAATTTCTTCTTTTACTTCTTCTCTTATAGAGTATTAGATTAAATAATTATTTAAATAGCTAACTAAGTAAATAATTAAGTAATTAATTAACGATCTAATTAAGTAGATTACTAAGCTAATAAGATAGATAATATTAATTAAGCGATTAATTAAGTATCGCTAGCTTAAGAGAAGTATATAGAGAAGAATAATAGCTGTAAATTCATTCGGACTCTTTTTAAAGGTATTTTAACGCGTTTATAAGTAGTAATAAATAACTATTAAACTCGCTTACAATCTCGATTATCGTTAATAAGAGATTTAAAAGATAGATAAAAGAAATACATATCTTAGATACTTAGTAATATTTAAACGAGAGATATCGAGAGCGAATTTATTTATAATTAATAAATTAATAGAATTATAGAAGAAATATAGTTATATAAATAGATAAAAGAATTATTAATCGATCTTAGACGCGTTTAATATAATTACGATATTTAAATATTAATTTAATTTATTAATAGTAGATTAAACTTTATTATTTTTATAGCGTTAGAAAGCATATACTAAGCTCTATAATTTATAAAATTATAAAGAAATAATATTTATAGAAAGCTGGTTATTTTAGAGTATAAAACTTCTATATATAAATATTTTTAATAAGAAAGCTCGAGAGGGCTAGCGGGCTAACTTAGTTAGTCTAGCTAAAAGACGTAATAACCTCGAATTAATAATTAACTATATATATAAATTTAAGATTTTCTAATTCAGCTCTATCTTATTCTTTTATATATACTAATTAAGTAAATTTTATAATTAACTAAAATAGTAGTAAAATTTTAATAGAAAAAAGAGAACTTATATTAATAATAAGTTTTTAAAGAATTAATTAACTTTAAATTAATTTAAATTCTAATTAATAAGAAGATAATTTTAATATCTATTATAATATTATAATATTAAATATTATTATTATATTAAATATTACGAGTAAAGATCTATAAATTAAATTTATAATTTTTTTTTTAATTAGAGCTATCGAGTAAATAGATGAGCGATCTTTGATAAGCGAACTTTAATAAGCGATATTTGAATTCCTTACGCTTTAATAATTATAAGACTAAAATTAAGAATTTTTTTTTCATCTAAAAGCCTATATTTCGTTCTATAGTTTAAAAAAAAATCTTAAAAATCTAATAGAAAATAAAAAAGTTATTCTATGTGTTAATAACGTATATCTATTTTTTTAATAATTGCGAATAAACTTTAGTAAAGCGATATTTGAATTTCTTACGCTTTAATAATTATAAGACTAAATTTAGAAATTCTTTTTTTATCTAAAAGCTCATATTTCGTTTTATAATTTAAAAAAAAATCTTAAAAATTTAATAGAAAATAAAAAAGTTATTCTATATATTAATAACGTATATTTATTTTTTAATAATTACGAACGCTAATTTATTTACCCGCGATAAGTTACTCGATTTAATTAAAGAGTAGAGCGAATTTAAATTTATAATTAACTATATATATAAATTTAAGATTTTTAAACTTAGCTCTATCTTATTCTATTATATATACTTATTATTATATTTATTATTATTATTATAATTATAATTATTATTATATTAATTATTATTATTATATTAATTACTATTATTATTATTTTTATAATTTATAGAATTTTTATTATTTTTATAACTTTTACGATTTTACGATTATTAGAATTTTAGAATTTTTTAAAGAGAGAGATTAATAGATTTAAATCGAGAATAGTATAGAATAATTTTAAATTTTATTAAAATTACTACTACTCGACTATTTAAGCTTATATTAAAGAGTATTCTAAATAAAGTAAATAAGTTTTTTATAAGCGATATTAAAACTTCTTATCTTTAAATATTATAAGACTAAATTTAATAAATCTTTTTTTATTTAAAAGCTTAAACTACGCTTTATAATTAAAAAAGAAAATTAAAAAAAATTAATAGAAAAAAGAGAAGTTATATTAATAATAAGTTTATAAAAATTTATTTAACTTTAATTTAATTTAGATTTAATTAATAAGAAGTTAATTTTAATATCTATT